AAGAAAAAAGAAAAAGAAAAAGAAAGGGATGGTTAGAGGGTGTAAAAAAATAAAAATGATAAAGATAAGATATCATCTATCTATGTATTTCTGCATCTATTGCCTTGCATTATGATTTCAAACATAAACTAATAAAAAGGAAAATACATAAAAACTATAGGATGCAATGAGGTGATACGGTAAAAAGAGACATAAGAATCAGTGTCTTTTTGCCAAGTTATTGTCTCAGGAAGCCATTCATTTTAGTCTCTTCTACAAGACTGATTGCCCTAACAATTCTGCTGACAAAGGGAGCCTCTGAGATGTTGCAGATCTCTCAATTCTTATGGTGACATTCTTCTCCAATAAATATCCTAACTTCTTATAAACTTGCCTAAAATGTCAACTCTAAGTTCAGATTCACTGACTGTTGTATCACTCCTATGATTTTTTGAGATGAGTTTTTTTCTGAGCAGTAGTCTTCAGTGGAGACAAGGGTAAGTGGGTAGTTTTTTTCTCCAAGGGATATTTGGCAATATCTGGATATAATTTTATATGTCACCATTTTGGCAAGGGTGAGCTGTTACTGGCTTGTAATGCATAGAGGCCAAAGAGACTGGAACATTCTGAAAAATACAATATGTTCTACAACAGTGAATTATCTGCCCCCAATATCCACAGTGCCAAAGTCAAGAAAGCTTGTTTCCAACAATTAGAGAAATCCTCTGTTTTTCGGGAACAAGGTATGAGAAAGTATTTAAAACTCTGGTCTTTATCATTTGGTAATTCTTCAAAGATGACAGAGCCGTCACCAAAGCTTAGCCCAGCTCATTTATTTCTCAGTTCCAACTTACTGTTCTATTATAACAAGCACTTAGCACCGAGGACTGTGTTCAACAGGTAGCATATTGCAGGAAATCACACGATAATATAAGCAATTGTTTTAATGATGGATACCTTGGAGTATCAATATTTTATTTTGCAGTGTTAATGAGATGCCCACTGTCTTTAGTTCCAAACCATGTCCAATAATAAATCTTATTTTCAGTGTGGGACTTTTATTTTTCTATTATTTGAACATCTTTATGTGCCAATCGGATTGCCAATGTCAACACATTCTCTCAGTCATGGGCATTGGTTTATACCCCCTCCTTCGGATGGAACACTTCTGTTTCCCCACTGCCCTTACCAGCTAGTTCAGATATCTTATTGTCTAGACTTAAATATTTTTTCAGGAAGGCTTTCCCTGAGTGCTTTTCCTCTCTAGTGATATGTGCCTTTACTTGGGTAACCCCACAACACAATATACTGTAATTTACTTGATTGTTTCACCCATTCTGCCTTAAACTCCAGTAGGAGAAAACAAACAAAAAAATAATCATTTGCACATGCTACCTTCTTTAAATTTCTCTGTATTACTAAACATAGATACATATTCAGTAAATGCTAAACGTGTACAGTATTTAATAAAAATTAAAAAAAATTTTGAATTTGATGTTATAGCATTTATTCCAGTTTACTATTATTACAAAAGAATTCCATGTTTCTTTAAAGTGTATACACCACAACTTCACTATATGATTTGATTCCACAAGTTTCATTTACAGTTCTTCATAAAACTGTATTTCCTCTGCTACAAACATTGCCATTCAACATGTTTATGGAATAAACAAAATTGGATCAGTTTCAACCAAATCTTTCTCAATTTTTGATACATAAACCCTTTAGGAACTTTAGGGTTTCCTCCTTCAGGAAGCTATTTTAATAACATTTAAAAACATTTAACATAAATGTGACATTTGATATTGCTCAGACTGTCATACATATGCCATCATGTTTAGGGTAAAAATTCGTGTTGAAAGCCGGGATATAGCACAGCGGCACAGCACCTGCCTGACTGACAAGTACAAGGTCCTGAGTTCGATTTCCAGTACAAAAAATTTTCATGAAAGACATGATTTCATATTCATGTAGATGTACATCCTGAGATAATAGTACTGTACTGTGTAAGCGTTATTTTTCTAGAAATGTCTTTCCACGGTACAGTAGTTGATATAATTAAATGAATACATTTTCTTGGTTAATTTTTTCCAAAGCAGCAATTAAACAAGGTCTATTGTGATTTTTTACATTGCTGTCTTGCAAAATACAAATATTTTAAGGATGTAATTTATGGGAGCATCAGGTTAGTGTAGATGTGGGTACTAGCTATGATTTTTGGTAGTGAGCTAAAGTCCCAAATGCGCTTTTGCGTAAGGGTTACTTAAAGTACTGTAATTCTTAAAACAAAACAAACTCCCAAAATCCACAACAGGAACTACCTTTCCAAAGCTTTGGATTCAGGGGCGGGGCTACTGGCGGGAAGGGCGGAACCTCAAGGCCTGTGGGCGGAGCTTCAGTGGATGTGGGCGTGTCTTCAGCCCGCCCCGCCCCTCTGGCGCCTCTGGCCGAGCCGCTGACCCCGGCCTCCGCTCCCTCTCGGCTTCCGTTCCGCGGCTCCCTCCCTGCCCTCGAAGGCGGCAGCGCGAGGACCGCGCACGCGCCGTCGGCTCCTCAGCGCCGAGTGCCGCGCTCAGTCTGGCGTTTTCACTTCCTTCTTTCCGGAGCTGTATCCGGGTCGTTGCTTTCCCTATTGTCTCAGGCAGGCGGCCCCGGACTGTGCAAGTTCTGGGTCTTTTGTTGCTTCTGGTGCAGGCTAATAAAGTTTTCCTTTTGCATTTTTCCACCCGGCGGTGCTGGCGCCCCGGGCCGCGCTGCCTGGGCAGGGGCGCCGCAGGCGGGGGCGGGGAGGGCGCGAG